GCAGGCACCGAGTAAAATTTAACCTTTCACTTCCAAGATTTGCCTTGAAATATGGATCTACATTTAAGAAAAATATCATTCATATTAAATTAGTATCTGAGAGATCATTTTTTCAACCTGTTATTCAAATCCAAAGATCTCCTCTTCTACCCACATAATTTTTAATGTGTAATAAGGTTTATTGTAATGTAAGCCATCATTTGCCATGCTCACCTAGTATTCTATGAGAGTTCCATGTATATTCCAGCCAAGTCCGAACTCGATATTGCACACTCTGAGGAATAGAGTATTTGTTCATGTAGTCAATGATATGGTCCATGCAGACATGGAAGTTGTGCTGATTGGCTGTTGCTGCTCCAATTACATCACGCATCTAAATGTATAAACATAGTCATTCACACCCCGGAGACAAATTTCATCTGAATTGCTTATCCTTACACAACATCCCTGCCTATTGCCCTGATTGTCTGACTTTAACACGCTGACATTGGGTCCTAATAAAATGCTGGAAATCAGATTATCTCACTAACAATAATAAGGCCCATTATACCAATCGTGTGAGATTTTTGTGAGACTTTGGTCTCATAATGCAGGTGAATGAATGCACATAATCTTCACATAGTTATATGTTACCATGAAAATGATAGTTGACATTTTAAAGCCACTATAATCCCTGCACAGATGCAAGGGAAGTGTAATGAGAGTTGAGCAATTATCCCACAGAATGGTTAGTCGATTTTGATGAGTCTCTCTACGAAAGTACTCTTCAGAGATCAGCCAGGATGGCTGGCTCTATAGGCTCAACTCATCATGCAATTTCAGCCTCTGTTCTTCCTTTTGTGTTGTTTAGACAGATAAAATCAAATCTTATCATGCTCAAGGCACAGTATTCAGCAGAAGTTGAAATGTGCTGAAATTACTGAAGCGTTGTCTGCACTGTGACAATCCTTAAGGAACTGTCAGGTTTAGTTCTTGAATGTTTATAACTCAGCCATAAAAACCCACTCTAGGTTAAAAGCTGATCTTTAAGGTCTCAGCACAAAAAAGATATATTGCTCGGCTCTTCCTCTCACATAGAGAGAAGCAAGTGGTTATAAATTTGCTTTGACTGTGGGTTTATTATGGGAGAAAAGCCAGACCTCACTTTCACACTAATACTTTGCTCATTCATTTTAGTAGCTGTGGAGTCTTTTCTGCTTATGGAAAAAAAAAAAACCCTACTGGGTTTTCTGTATTTTTTTAAGTATAGCTCAAATACCTTTCATTGTGATGCTTCCTCAGCTTACAGTTTTAGAAGTGATGGAATCTACTTCACAAAAGTATTTGCTAAGAGCTATACAGACAGTCCTTGTATATCCATTATTCTTCAATGGCTCTCCAACTATTCCACAGCCTCAGTTCCTTGATCTTCTCTTTCCTTGTTCCTGTGCCACCAGCCACATTAGCTGGTTGTCCAATTCTGTCAGACATGATATATTTATTAGAGGTTGGGTTGAGAGATGTAACCAGGGTGTTTTCTCGAATCAAGGACACAGTTAGGTGGTTTTAAATGGTATCGAGGGCCTGAGGATTTGTAGTATATTCATCTGAACATTTATGTACTGCCCTTCAGCAGTTGGGTTTCACTGATGTAGGAAATGAAGACAATATGTATTCCAAAATGAGCTCCAGTCTATAGAAGCATATCATGTTTGGAGAGTTAGACAATGCCAGGATTTGTAAGTTTTACTAGAGAGTAGAATTCAGGAGTGAAGAATGATAGTTAATTTTGAGGCACGGTCACTGGTATGATCATATGTGTGGGTTTTTAATACATGGAGATTTTGTTTCAGGTTGTCTTACTTTTGTTTCTAACTGTTTTCTTCTTAGCATCTTTTGTTTCCTCTGAGAGCTTAAGGTACAAGTCTTCATCTCCAGCTTTACTCTCTTGTGTATTTGAGCACCACAGTTTCCAGTGTTTCTTGTGCAGATTAGATCTTCAAATCCTATTGAAAGGCAGGTGTGCTACATTTCTCAGATTATTATCACCATAAGAATCACCACAAGAGCTATTGAGATGCATGTTGTGGTTCACTTGGTCTTAAGTAGGGTATGAGTCCAGACTTTCTCAAGTGGTGCAGCTGTGGCTGTCCAAGGGAAGCATCCATTGGTGAAGGACTCTCACTCTTCTGGACAGATATCATTTCCCCTTTTCACTCTTTATTGATGTTTGAGACAGATTCTATAACGCAGTCCTGGCTGGCTGGAATTTGCTATGTAGACTGGGTGGCTTTGAACTTTTCCCTCCTCTTGCTTCTGCTTCCCAAGCGCTGACATTATAGGACAGATACATCATTTTCTAGTCTTTTGAAAATTGCTTTGCACACACCAAGGGCTCAACGTGTGTTAGATTTTACTTTGACCATCCATTTTTCACACATTGCTCTATTTTAAGACAGTATGAATTGCAATGCCTCTTAATCTCTTTCTGCTTTTTGAGACAGGGCCTCACTATGTAGCTCTGCCTGCCCTGGAACTCACTATGAAGATCAGGCTAGCCTTGAGCTCAAAGACATCTTCCTGACTCAGCCTCTCATGTGCTGGGATTAAAGGAGTTTGACATTACAAGCTGCTCAACCTCTTAATCTCTTTAAAGTCTCCTCACCATAAAAATGAGAAAACAATGACTGCACCCCACACTGATTTTATGATATATTGTGACATAATGTAGTTTTTGCTGTTTCATTTCATTTAATTGGAATTGAAAATTGCTCCAGCTAGCTTTGTATTTCAACCATTAATAATCATTCCCATCCATTGCTATGATAGTTTACTCTTATAACCATTAACTTCTTGATGTTCCAAAACTTCAATATTCCAAATATTCCAATATTTTCCAGTACCTAAATATTTTGTAAATGAAGTTGTTGTTCTGTCTTCCCTATATAGTCCATTAGCATGTCTAAGCTGTAGTTGACATGCCCCTGTGCCTTGACATTAACTGCCTATCTAATTTTTTTCTTTTTTTGTATTTTTATGCGTTTGAATTTGAAGGCTTACTGACCTACAGCTTTGATTGCTTTTCATGGCTACAGCCAATTTCTGAGAGATAGTGACCCGATTCTTCTTAGAGTGCTTTTTATAATTCAAATGAACTAATCCATAATTCCTTTTCTTTATATAGCCCTCACATAGTCTCCCACATTTAAGACACGACCTGTTATGCTTAACAGTTGTAGGTACCAGACCAATAGACTGATATCTCAAAGCCTGATGAAGTTATTCAAATTAAATAACCCCAATGTTTAATCAGATGCAACCCACATCCAGTAATTACTTATTTTGTTCAACATCCTCATTTTCATGGTGTAGTATGCGCCGTCCTTTTAAGTAAGACCTATGAGCATAGCAAATTAATCCTTTCAGTAACAATTGTCCTTGATCTGTTAGACTTACCAGACCTAAGAAATAATAAAACGCATATTTAAAAACACTGGCCCTTTCGGTTCATATTATAATTAACCTTGAATCTCCATGTTCAATACCCTCCCTAGACTGCTTCCCATTGCTGTCAAGGTACAACTCAAATTTAGCATTTAAAATCCTTAAAATATTTTATTCTTGCACTTGTTTCTTACTTCCAAAGGTTGTCTGTCCCATCATTGCCTTCTGGATCTCAAACACATTCCATGTTTTACCACTGACATATTTTCATAACTAATTCTGATGAACTGAACTGCCTATTGATGATAACTGAATACTACTTAGCTCTTGAAAATGCCTCACCTGCATCTGCTCCATGTAACCTAAGAGGCTTCTCTTTTCTGAAAAGTAGAGGGCTTCCAAAGTTCTCTGCCATCTGTCATGTTTAGCAGACACTTAACATTAATAGATGCATTATTTGAGTTCTGACAATTTTTGAACAATATCAGATATCATGGTTAGTAGTTCTTATTGTTATAGAATTAATTTTATCCATACAACTGTGAGCATGTTAAGAATCAATAGTTTTTCTAGTGGGTTTATTGATTTTGTGATGTACTCAGTGTCTTAAATCATGCATTATATGGAGTTGCATAACTGAATGTGGGGGCTGCAAAATAGAAACAATAAAGGTCTATGAATGCATAATGACCAAAAATTAATTCAAATGAAATATGTAATGAGACTGAGGTGTCTCTGGTAGGACTTGCCCATGCTGTACTGCATAACTTCACTGCAGCCTTATTTCTCACACATCACAGCCCACTTTGCATTGTGTGCTTTGCCACAACGCTATGCAACAGTATATGCTCCATGAAACACCTGGCTCAGATTCTAGACTCTGTTACATATTATGAATTATAATGTTTTTACTGCAAATTCAAAGGGTTTATATCATAACAAACTTGGCCAGCAGGTCTTCTGGAAGATTTAATGGCTAAAAAGGAAAAACATCTGAGTATGGTGGCATAGATATGTAATTCTAGCTTACAATGTGAATTCACTCTTCAATGAGAGGAAAGAGGACCATGAGTTTGAGTATAGCCTAGACTACATATCAAGAGTGTCTCAAAAAAAAAAAAAAGGTCAATGTTGTAATGTTGGACTAAGTGCATTCTATCCCACACCACTAAATCTGTGAAAGGTAATAAAAGAAGGAGGGGGAAGAATGGGAAAAAGAACCATAGATTTCAATATTTCCTCCATAAAAGTTATAAATATTTATTAGCCTTTTTAAAATGAACGTATTTTGTACTAGGGATTCACTGTGTGCTTACCTGACCAATTAAGCTGGAGAACACAAAAACTCCAGAAAAAAAATTCAAGAGTTGAAAAAGAATTTCAAATGAAGTCTGTGGCTCTGGAAGGCCTCCGATATTAATTAATGTTCGAACTGCCCAATAATAACATCTCAGATACCTGTAAAAATGATGCATAGGTTTTCCTTTACATATCATTGTAATACCATTTTGCTCACACACAAAGTTTATGTATGCAGGAACTTGCAAAGACTTCTTAATAAACACTAGGACATGACGAAACTTTTAAAACTAAGGAGGATATTTACTGTTTCCAAATTTAGTGGTCTACTTTATCAGCCTTCTATATTTTGTGTGAGAGATTTGTACAAGAGTTAGGACAGATGTGCTGACTATGTTCCACAATGAATGGGCTTTCGGATGGAGTGATTGGGAGGCTTGGAGACATCTGGCAACATGCATTTGAGGTCAGCTGCCTTGTCCTTTGAATCTTACTGTTGTCTGGGTTTCTATGTTCTTCTCCATTTGATCTATTCTTGGAATGCTCAAGGAAGCTTCTTATTTTATATGTCTAAGCTTGTACTGGTCTGGTTGGGGATGGCAGGATGACTTTCTACTTACCTTCCTCATATGACTAGATTGAGCTTCCTCATTTTTTGCCTGTCTCAAGGTACACAGACCTCTTTTTCTTAATTGAGAATATTTTCCCCTCATATCCTCAGAGATCATGCCTACATCCCTACCCATTCAACTCCATACATTTTCACTCCCTTTTTGGAAAACTAACAGTCTAACAAACAAACAAACAAACAAACAAATCATAATAAAATAAAGAAAACAGACAAAACAAGAAAAAAAAACACAATACAAATGTACACACACACACACACACACACACACACACTAAGTCCACAGGGACATAAAAATAAGAAACCATAATTGATAATTTCATAGACTTCTTATTGGCAGCTGCTTCCCCTATAGTAATCATTGCTCAAGAATAAGATAAAAAGGAACTTTTAATCTAGAAATCTCAAAACATCTTATTTTCTTGCCCTATTATATTTGTCAAGCAAATTCATAGTTTGAATTTTTGGAAGATATATGGGACTCCATTCTTCATTGGGAGGGATGGCAAATAATTTGAGGCAATCTTTAAATTGCCAAACCAGGACTGATGAGCTGGCTCCACAGGTAAAGGTAATTGCCAACAAGTCTGACAACCTGAGTTCAATTACTTTGAAACAACATAGGAGAAGGAGAATTCCAGATGCACATTATGGTATCTCCTTTCCCACTAAAACAAATAAATGTAATAAACTCTACCAGGGAACTCTTACAGCTGATAAACACCTTCAGCAAAGTGGCAGGATACAAGATTAACTCAAACAAAATCAGAAGGCCTACTATATACAGATGCTAAATTGGCTGAGAATGAAGAAATTGGAGAAACATCACCATTTACAATTGCCACAAACAATATAAAATATCTTGGGGTAATGCTAACCAAACAAGTAAAAGACCTGTATAGCAAGAACTTTGAGTTTTTAAAGAAAGAAGATCTCCCATGCTCTTGGATAGGTGATGGGGAATGTACTCTGTATGTTCATCTTATTGATTATTGAATAAAGTACTTGTTTGGCCAATGAGGCAGCAAGTTAGGCAGGACTAGGAGTCAAAGAGGATTCTGGGAAATGTAGTAGAGAAGTGGTGATCCAGGCAGGAAGTGACATAGCAAGGAGACTCATATTTAAGCAAGGAGAAACAGGAAGTGTCCCATTTCCCCTTCGCCTGCTCCAGCGGCACCATGTGAGCCACCGGCAAGAGAGGGTGCCAGTGGAAGGCATCCTCTATAAGATAAGTCTTATAAAATATATAGATTTATGGTAATTAAGGCTGAGCTAACAGATGAGATTCCTAGTCATTGGTCAAGCAGCTTTGTACCTAATATGTCTCTGTATTATTTTTTGTACCTATTATGTCTCTGAACTCGGGCAGCTGGTAGAGACCACCCACGTGGCAGTGGGGCTCAGTGGCTTTTGGCAGAAAGATTTATCATAGCAGATATGTAAGATCAACATATCAAAAATGGCAATTTTGCTAAAAGCAATCTCCAGATTCAATGCAATCCCCATCAAAATCTCAACATAATTCTTCACAGATCTCAAAAGAAAAATACTCAACTTTTATGGAAAAACAAATGACCCAGGATAGCCAAAACAACCCTGTACACTAAAGGAACTTCCAGAGGCATCACCCTCCCTGCCTTCACGCTCTATTATAGAGCTATAGTCCTGAAAACAGCTTGGTATTGGCAAAAAAATAGACAGGTTGACCAATGGAATCAAATTGAAAACCCTGATATTAACCCACACATCTACAAACACCTGATTTTTGACAAAGAAGCTAAAGTTATACAATAGAATAAAGAAAGCATCTTCAACAAATGGTGCTGGCATAACTGGATGATGGCATGTAGAAGACTGCAGATAGATCCATGTCTATCACCATCCACAGGAATGACCCCAACTAAGAATCTAGGCAGTAGTGCAGAGGCTGCCTTTGGTGCACTTCCCCTATGATGAGATTGATGACTACCTTGGTTGCCATCCTAGAGCCTTCATTCAGTAGCTGATCTAAACAGAATCAGAGATTCACAGCTAAACACTAAGCCATATTCCTGGAATCTAGTTGCAGAGAGGGAGGAGGGATAAGCAAAGGAGCCAAGATGATGCTGGAGAAACCCACAGAAAGAGTTAACCTGACCTGGTGAGAGCATGGAGACCATAGCTGTAAAGCTGGGGAGCCAGCATTGGACCAAACCAAGCTCTGTGAATGTGGGTGCCAGCTAGGAGCCTTGGGAAGTCTATTGGATCTCTGTGAACAGGTGAAGCCTGTGTTTATCCCTAGTGCACAAATGGACTTTGGGAGTCCATTCCCTATGGAGGGATCTATTGCAGCCAAGATACTTGGAAGAGGGCCTAAACCCTCCTCCAAATGATGTGATGGACTTTGATGGTCCCCAGTGGAGTGCCTCACTATCATTAGGGAGTGGGTTGTGGGGATTGGTCGGGAGCATGGGAGGATGGGAGGGTGATGGAATGGGGTATTGATATGTAAAATAAGATTGTTTCTAAAATAAAATAAAAATTATTTACAACTGACAAAAAAAGAAATTTCAGTTACCAAATAACAACATGTGGAAAATATTATGTAGATGAAGTAGGTTTATATTGATGAGATAACTCTTTATAATTTAGAGTTAATTGTTCATACAAATAAACATAGAACTGATAAATTTGTTCACTATCTTTTTATACATTTTTATTATATTAATAAATACGCAAATGTGAGAAGAGATGAGAAATCTTTTCTTAGTAAGGAAACAACTCTTGGATGGAATAGGTTATTTATTTAGAACTGAAGAACTGAAGAACACCAAATAAAATTACTTAGCTCTGATAACATAGCCTGGGTCAGGCATTCCTACTGTATCCTTAAAAAGATTTCTTACAGGTGGAAGAGGGGAACAGAAGGATTGTAAGAACCAGAGGTTTGAGGACCAGAGTGAAACAGTGTCTTTTGGACATGACAGAACTGCTGAGCTCTTGAGCTCCCAGAAGCTTCCAGAAGTGGTTGTCTTCATGACATCTGCACAAGATCAAGCCAGTTAACATTCTAGCAATGAGCAAGAGGGCATTTATGAGCTTCATTCCTGACTCAGGAGCTTCAGATAGAGGATGGCTTCTTGGGGAAAGAGATTCACTTTTGTTTAAGGATGTTCGTCTTGGTAGACCATGGTAGTCCCAAACCTAGGAATATACAGGCAACACTAACTGGGGATCATGTTTTTATTTTTTATAAAAGACATTAAGTTGGTGGTGGCAGGGAGATCAAGTAAATATATGAGGAGTTAGAGAGAGGGGTGACAAATGAATTAAGATCATAATATGTTGTATAAAATTCTCAAGGAATTAATAAAATAAACTTGAAAATCAAAATATGTTATAAATAGACCTTCAACTCAGTGGATCCCAATTATTATTTTTCTGGTATTCATAGCAGATTAGAACTTTTTACAGCATTCTGCCGTAGTTCAACTTTTATTTTTAAAACAGAAATACTAAATGACCCAGTTGTATTACTGGTAGGTATATTCCCAAAGGATTCTGAATTCTGTTTGAAACAGACAGGAAATAGAATAAGCTTGGATTTCTATGAGGAGATGAATGGATAATGAAAACATATATCATAAAGTTAAATTTTGACTATAAAGAAAAATGAGTTAAATTGTCAGAAAAAAATAATGGAACTGAAAAAAAATTAAATGAAGTATCTCAACCTCAGAAAGATATAAACTGTATGTTCTTTCTCACATATTCAGATCCTAGCTTCTAATTATTAAATATAAGCATCGAGATGGAGTTAATGTTGGTATAAACACCATAATACTAGCAGAAAGCGGTCCATGAGATGAAAAAGAGTCTTTAAGGAGAGGGTTGGGGAAGACAATGGAACACATGAGATATTAAAGTAGAAGAGGAATATAGGGCACAAAAGAGTACAGTGAGGAAGAGAGGACAGAGAGGTGGAGCAGAGGATAGTGGATGAAAAAACAACAAAAATGAAGTATGCTAAAAAATCCCATAATGGAGGAATGAAGATCAAAGGGGTCAATACCAGACTGGTGAGACCCACAGAAACAGTTGGCCTGAACAAGGGGGAGCACATCGACCTCAGACTGCTATTTGGGAGGCCAGCAAGAGGACTGATCCATATCCCTGAACATGGATGTCAATGAGGAGGCCTCGGCACTCTATGGGGCCACTGGTATTGGATCAGTATTTTTCCCTGGTGTAAGAAGGGACTTTGAGAGCCCATCCCACGTGCTCTCTCAGCCTAGACACATGGGGGAGGGCCTAGGCCTGGCGGGGGGGGGGGGGGCAGGGGGGGAGTTGGGGTGTTGGGAGGGAGAGTTGGGGGAAAGGGGAGGGGAGGGAGAAGAAATTGACATGTGAAGCAAGCTTGTTCCAATTTTAACTAATAAAAAAAGGAAAAACATCCCATAATGAAAACTGCCACTTTATAGATGATTTAAAATATTAAATTAAGGAATGGGGGGAGGCTCAAGAGATTGCTCTGTGGATAAAGTCCTGAGGCTAATCCCTGGAGCTCATGTAAAGGCAGAAGCTGAGAAATGACTCCATAAAATTGTGCCTTGACCTTCATATGTGTGCATGCATGCTTCCCAGAAAAATCAATAATAAAGTAAAAACGGGTTTTATTTCTTCTTCTAGTGAGTCACACAGAGCAGGAGCACTTTAGTACTTTATGACTGTGTTAGTCTTTGAACAAAGGGAACTATTCTCAAATACTAAGAAGAGTAGTTTTATAAAGAATGAAATAAACTGGTGTTGAAATTAGTACTCAAATAATTCAAATATATAAGTAAATTATTTTCAAATTCAATATATTTGAAGGGATAGGAGATATTTCTAAGCTGGTGGATATAGGAATAACCAAGACAATGAAAACAGTAACAAAATCCCACTAGCTTTTTTTGGGAGAGTTTAGAACCATTGTGCCAAGACAATAAAAATATCATGGAATAAATGTCCAGATGGCCTTGACTCACTAGCAGTGGACTTGTTGTCAAAGAGATGACAAAAGGAAATTTATGGGTTGTATTTCAACCTTTCTAGTTCCAATTTTAAGTGTTCTATCACCTAATCTATTTTGGTCACATGCCCTCAATCTGTGGGTTTCTTTAAACTGGGGAAACTTATTAAACTTAATACTTCCCAAGAGTGGGAAAGGAATAAATATTTTTACTATATGGTAAGTTCTATTATACATTATTTTAGTGTTAATAGGAACAAACACAGTATTATCTGCTTCTACCTTCTTATTGATAGATGTTAAAATTGACTGTTAAATGTGAAATGTTGGCATTGATTTTCCAAGTCTCAAGGGTTAGCTTTGAACTTTTAAAATATTAAATAGTATGCTACGTTAATTGGAACTTTTCTGCCCTGATGCTTTGTGGTTTATTTTTGGATTCCTTTCTCAGACATGTTTTGCACACCCAGACATGCCCAACCAAAGGTAAGATTTGTAATTTAATTAGATGGCATCATATTGATTTTCTAGGATTAGCTTAATTAGTCAAGGGTGTCCATCTATAATATCTACACTCCAGGCAGATAAATCTTTTCAAGGAGATTCCATCTGATAGATTTAATATGCAGACTCTATAAATTTTTAATACATGGCAACACACAGATCCAAATTAAAACAATAAGAGAACTTAAGATTCAATTTAAACAAAATATGAAAATAGGAATTATACTTCTGTGAATATATAAGGAACTAAAGAAGCAATCTGATTAAAATTGGACAAATCTAAACAAATATTTCTGGAAAGATGTTCAAATAACCAAATGTATAAGAAAAAACCTTCAGTGTCATTAATCATCAGGAAAGTACAAATCAAACTTATACTGAGCACCGTCTTACTCATTTGAATGTCAATAATTAAAATGATTTTTTCCCATTTTTGAGATGTCTTTATTCTGTTTTCTATACTAATTTATAATCCCTTGATAGTGTATGGACATTCTCATTTTTCTGCCTCCTTTCCTTTGTTTACCACAACACCTGTTTTCCCTTTTTGATTATTGCCATTGTAGCTGTTTTTGATATATATTTCCTGATGATTAATGATAGGAGCACCCTTTATGTTCTTATCAGTCATCTCTCTATGTGCCTTGATTCAAGAAATGTCATTTAAATGTTTGTTTTTTGAAGACTTCTGCTATTAAATTGTATGAATTTCTGATATTTGGGATTTTAACCCAAATCATGTATATGGTTTGTAAATATTTTCTCCAGTTTGGTAGGTTATATTTATATTTTGTTAATGATTTTGTTTTTGGTGTGATGAAAACCTGTGTGTCCACATTTGCTTTGCTTGTGTTTGAGGAGTCATATTAAACATGTCATTGCTCAAGGAAGATCATGGAGCTATCCTTCTCTGCTTTCTTCTATGGTTTGGAGTCCCGTATTTGTGTATTCAATCCAGTTGCTTGACTTTCGTGAATGGTATAAAATAAGACACCACTTGGATTTTGATAGGGGTTGCCTCAATAGGTCACATTTGAAGGATAATCACTCATCCAATCCATGAACCTAGTTGTCATTGTATTGATTTGTTTTTGTTTCACTTGCTTTCATTTCATACTGTAGTTTTCAGTGTATGTGCCTTGGACCTCTTGGTTTTATTTTTTAAAATCCCATTTGGTGTTATTGTAAATAGGATCATTTATTTAATCTGGGAATTCATATAAATGGCATCACAAAGTGTGTGTGCCTTGTGTAGCTATTTTCTACTGTTTTGAGAGTTATTTGTGCCCACATGATTTATTTATTAAAATTGCTGAGTAGTATTTATTGTATGTACTGCAACTTTCAAAAACATCCATATGTCTATGGATAAATTCCTTGGTTCTATGAAGCTTCTGATTATTGGGAATCTAGTTTCTCTGAATACCCTTATGCACTCTCCCCACCTGGATATATATTTTAATTTCTCATCAATAAAGAAGTGTGGAATTTTTAATTTGCAATTTAGATGCATGGCTAGTGGTTAAAAAACAACAAGCCTTTCTGATCTTTTCTTAAAATTGTTATGCTATGTGGGTGTGGTGTCACATACCTTTAATCACAGCACCAAGGGGGATGTGGCTAATATACATTATTACCCTTATGAAAAGATACCATAAATAAATGCATTACTTTGTACATCTAATATATGCTTATAAAAACTCAGAAAAATTCTGCCTTATGAAAATTCATATACCCAAACTGAAAATTAAGAACAAATAAGAGTCTCTTCCAAAATGAGAACTCACTTGTTTCCTTCACCATTATAGACCCATCTAGTTGTGCCAATTCCTTCATAGTCTGAGGCCCAGTAATAAATGCAGGCATTAATGTGCAGAAGAAACAGCAAGTAGCCAGTTGTTCGAATGATTCTGTCAGAGAGAATAAATGGAAAATATGGGTTGACATTGTTTCTGGAAAGCAGCTGATTTCAACATTTTCGTTTGCTTTGCGTCTCCAATGAGCCATCTTGCTTTAGATTTGCCAAGTGTCAACTCTTATTTGTGCAGTAGAAAGCAAAGGTGACATCCCATGTTCTCTGACTGCAGAGTCTTGAATAGGCTTGACAGAGTGTAAAAAAAGTCTTCATTTTTTTTTTTTTGCACAGATGGTGTGAGTCAACTCTGTGAAAGACATGCCTCTAGGGTCACTTCTTCATTTTGAATCCCATAAAATATGCCACACTGACTTACCTGGATATCTGAAAGGCTCACAGGACTTCATGCTGTGATGAACTGTGACTGAAGGTCTCTGTGCTCATGAAGTTTAGAATGACAAATGAGTGAAATTTAGACCAGGCATGAATTGTCATCAGAGAAGGAGAGCTGACTGGGAAGAGTGAACTTGTCTCTTACTGTTTAAATGGAAATGCAACAGGTACTCTTTCCTACTATGGCTTCCTTACTTTATTCTGACTTGAAATAGCCCACCGATTCTATATAGCAAAATAGAAAATGTCTCATGTTTTTTAGCAGTGTGGCCATTTTTGCCTCAATGCTGTCTAAAATGTTCTGCTATCACTTTTTCTGTTTCCTCCATACTTAACAATGATACTCACCTGTAGATATATGCTTTGTCCATTAGAGACTCCAGGCGGTTATTAAACTCAAAGAATGAAGTGTACTGTAAAAGAAATAAGCAGAAGAAATGCAGAAGTAATGTAACTACATGTTTATTTAGGTAAAAGTATGTGTAACATATTTTTTCATTGGAAATCATTTTATGCATGTCTTTTAAAAACATGTCATATTTAGTGGTATTTTCTCTTTAACACTTTGCCAAGCCTATAGAACTCAGTGCTTTATTTTATTTCTATCTTGGGTTATAGTCTTTTGATGCTTGTTGAAAACCAATAATGGGCTTCTTTCTAATGCATACAATAAAACTCTATTTTGCAATGATTAAAATCATACTTCCAAAACATAAATCAGCTGGGCGGTGGTGGCTCACGCCTTTAATCCCAGCACTTGGGAGGCAGAGGCAGGTGGATCTATGTGAGTTCGAGACCAGCCTGGTCTACAAGAGCTAGTTGCAGGATGGCCTCCAAAGCCACAGAGAAACCCTCCCTCAAAAAAACAAAACCAAACCAAACCAAAAACAAAAACAACAAAACCAAAAACAAACAAACAATAAACACGAATCAAAGAAAAAACATTGTTATTAACAGTAACTTTATTTCTAGGAAGAGGTGTCAAATTGTATATATTTTTTTCAAATTATGAAATCCACTAAGCATTAGCAAAGACTTGTGTTCTGTTATCCAAAGGTTCAATGGCTTCATGTGAACTACTCTAAATAGAGTTGCTGTTTCCCTTAAGGTTCTTTCTTAAGTGTGGCACATGAACACAAATGGATATTTACTCAGTTGTTAGGAAAAATGAAATCATGACATTTTTCAGGTAAATAGATAGAACTAGAAAAAAATTATAACAAATGAGGTGACCCAGGCCCAGAAAGACAAATGCTGTATGTTCTTTTTTATTTCTACTTTTGTCTCAGCTCTCACATCCTTTGGATACTCTTATCCCACCCTCTCCTCTCTCCTACATTTCTATAGGAAACATGGCATGGAATAAAACCATGGACTCACCAGGAACCCCAGAGATAAATGCCAGCCCTATTGCTGATATGTATTTGTCATTACATGACCCTGGTAAAATCTACTTCATACCTTGGCTCCTTACCTACAAAAAGACATAATAAAAAGTAGTCGTGAAAGAGTGTGTGAAGGTGTTCATTGATATGCTGAATGTGCTTGGAAGAGGAAGATCTTATAGACAGAAGTCCTCAGAGAATACTTATTCCAAAATATCCCCCAATTTACATGTGACTGCTGTATCATTGGATCAATATATATATAATATATATGTAATACTAATATATATTACTATTACAGTGTTATGTTAATAGTGTTATGGTGGAAAGGTAATCAACTTGTTTTCCCAGGATGCAACAAAGTAAGAAATTAAAAATAACTCATCAAGTTAATAAAAATATTTTGTGTTATATTTAAGGAGGTTGTCTTATGAGGTACAAGTATTCAATATTTTTTTAAAAAATGAGATTTATTTATTTTTGTTTTTTTAAAAACAAGTATATACGGGTGTTTTCCCTGCATCTATATCTGTACCACATATAATGCCCACAGCTGACAGAAGAGGGAGCCAGTTCTCCAGGAACTGGAGTTACAGACCATTGTTAGCTGGCATATGGGTGCAGGGAATTGAACCTGGATCCTCTGCAAGAACAGCCAGTACTCTTAACTACTGCTATTCTTAAAGATTTATATAAAGTAGAGATTTTCCTCTGAGTTACCCAACAAAGTTGAGTTTATGAAACATGTATGTCTTAGAATACGTTTGAATAGAAGATACATATAAGTATTTCAAAATCAATGTTAAATATATCCCTTCAAAATTCTATTTTTCTTGCTTCTATTTATTCTGATTTTCCTTTTCATCCTAGGCAGCTGCTTTAATTAGTTTCTGAGAAATATTTGTAGTATTTAGGAATTTATGTAAATTTATAAAACTTAGCATTTTTCTTTCTTGTTTGCATAAATTAGTTGTGTTCTGCAAACTATTCCCTATGCAGCTCTTTAGCTTAGCAATTTATATTGAACTTATTTCCATATTAGTACACAGAAAATTTTACTTTTTTTTCTAATGCTAGGTAAACTGTAATATAGATGTATCTCAAAGCCTCAGAAAATTTAACTGCTTTGTGATTTTTTTGTTTGTTTGAGACAGAATCTAATGCTGTAGCTCAGGCTAGCCTGAAAATTATTATGTGGCCCAGACTGTTTTCAAATTCATGGAAATCCTCATCTTCCCAAGGGCTCAGATTATAGGGAGTCACCACATCTTGATGAGCAATTTAGTTTTAGCCAAGGATGCAAAACTATGTTTGCATTGTTCCTATAATTATAGAATCTTAGGCTGAATAAAAACATAGATGTGACCCCTTTTCCCTTTTTATTTTACAGCTTGGTATTCCAAACAGTCAGGAACTCTCTGATAAAACAGGATACATGGAAAAATTAAAATGATAAAATATTAATTTATATTTCTAGTCACCTGTAGAAGTATAAAAACACCCCTCTTTTGGGCTATAAACTGCCTGTTGTGTTGCAACTATCCACAAGTCATTTGTTCTTTTGTATTAGAGTAGTTCTCAAGACCCCTGTAAATGTCTGAAACTCAGTGTTATCTAAAGTCCTATGTGTAGTGTGTGCTCACTTTGGTTTGGCAGTTTGCAGTGAGCAACCAAACTAGCAATGATATATCTCTGTCTCTGTATACTCCCTTTCCCTCTCTTTCTATTGCAACACTGAGACTTGCATCTACAGTGTTGCACATCCTAGGCAGACACTCTACCACTAAGTCCATTTATTTGTTTGTTTATCATGTTTTCTTTTGTCACAGAGTCTCCCTAAGTTGTACACACTAGTATTGAATTTACCTGGTAGCTACTGGCAGGGTGGGAACTTGCAATTCTCTTGCCTCAGCCTCCCTGAGTCCTGGAGATGTCCAGTTAATTTCCTCCTTCATAGTTTAATGAATTTTAGTTTTACTAAAGATCTTGGAATGTTTGTCCCTTCCCTATTAGACTGATGTCATTTGACTTAAAAAAAAAAGAACAGAGCATAAATGTCACTTAAAAAAATGCCCGTTGTAGGGTGGTGAAACCCATGGAAACAGCTGACCTAAACAAAGGGGAGCTCTTGTTCCCCAGACTGATAGCTGGGAAACCAGCATGGGACTGATCTAGACCCCATGAATGTGGTATCAGTGAGGAGACCTCGGAAATCCATGGGGCCTCTTGTAGTAGATCAGTACTTACCTCTAGTATAGGTGTGGACTTTGGGAGCCCATCCTACATGGAGGGATACTCCCTGAGCCTAGACACATGGGGATGGGCTTAGGCCCTATCCCAAAGGTTATGACAGACTCTGAAGACCCCCTATGGAAGGCCTCATCCTTTCTGGGGAGCAGAAAGGGTATGGGATAGGTAGGGTCTTAGTTGGTGGAGGGCAGGAGGCGAGGGGAGGGAACTGGGATTGACATGTAAAACAATATTGTTTCTAATTCAAATTAAAAAAATGGAGAAAAATTGCCTGTTGTAAAGAAATAGAGGAGTGGATTGGGGCTTGGAAATAGATGGCGAATAGGGGAAGGTGACTAGGAGGAAAGGAGGGAGGAGAAACTGTGGCTGGGATGTTAAAGAAAAGAATACCTGTTGTAAGAGAGATTAGAAGCAATTAGGAGTGATTTCCATTGACATTTTTCTACTATTTATTTAAAGAATTTGTAATATTGATGAAGACTGAGAAATAGAAGGCCATTCATAAAAAATTAAGAGTATTGTTAATTTCAGCATATCTAATCTTGCTTCATTCAAGATTTCCATTAGGAGAAGGAGGAGGCAGCTAAATATAGTTTCTTTACCTTTAGTATCCGATTTGTTCTAAAGATTGGATTAAATCCAAAGAAGATATAGAGAATTTCAAATGGCATTAGGGATATGACATCCATCTGTTGAAAGAACGTATTCACAATTATATAGATTGCATACTTCCCTGTGGTTAGATTTGTAATCATGCAGGCCAATATATATGCAAGCTACTTTTCTGTTTCTGTGATAAAATATCCTGCAAAGAAACTCAAGGATGAAGGAATTCATTTTAGCTTACGGATTTAGAGGGTTACAGTTCATCACATTGAAGACGACATGGCCTAGGCAGGGAAGGCATGTGGGCAGGAGGAGAATGGATGGTGGACTGGACACATTGCATCCTAACTCAGGAAGCAAGAGAGTGAGCAGGAAGTAGAGGCCCGGAAAACTCTAACCTTAAAATGGCCTCCAGTGTGCTAATTACTCTAGCAAGGCTTCACCTTCTAAAGGCTCTACAACCTTCCCAAACTGTGCCACCATCTAGGAACCAAGTGTGAGTTTCCCGGAGACATTTCACATTTAAATGACAATAGTATGCAAAAGTTGTCAATTCATATGAATTATTTACTATTTAATCCAAAATTGCTTTCAGTTAAATATACACAATGCCAGTTAAAGATATTAATATCACGAGAACAAGGGTACTAGTTTGTAGTCTATGCCAGTACATTTCATTTTCATCTTCATGTATCTGAGCTATCCTTAGACATCGCCTCTGCTCAGGTTTTTCTTGTTTCATATAGTTCAGCAATGACATAGATGCTAATGTTAGAACACATTTTCATTGTCTTTGAAACATGAGGTTCTGGTTCAAATCTAGTTTTGATTTTGTTTGAAACTCTTGTAAATTCATTGCAATGATACTGCTTTATGATCTATCCATTTCTCTTCGGCTCAGAGTTGATGATGTCATTCTGGTTCATCTAGGTTCCTAGGTGATTTCTTCCACTGTCTTCTTTGAGTTGTTTTGCTACCAACTACCTGGCATGAAAGTTTTCATCAGAGTCTACAAAGGCTAAAAGACAGAAATCATCTCTGTTTACAATAAATTAGCAACTCAAATGAGAGAAAGTATTGGAAAGCACTGTGATATAATAGCTAAAATATTCTTTTTTTCTAAGATATTCTTTTTAAAACTTTTCACGCATTTACATTATTCAGGCCTTCTTATATGTTGGTGATCATATGGCATTCCTTAGTAATCAACAAAATTTTATCTATTTTTTTGGGGGGGTTTCCCTGTGGCTTTGGAGGCTGTCCTGGAACTAGCTCTTGTAGACCAGGCTGGTCTTGAACTCACAGAGATCCTGTCTCTGCCTCCCAAGTGCTGGGATTAAAGGCGTGCGCCACCACTGCCCGGCCTCTACTTTGTTTTTAAAAAATATTTTCAGAGCTTGTGTGTGTTTTTGTATGTGTTATCTGCATGTATGTCTGTGCATCATTTATGTGCCTGGTGCTTGCAGTGACCAGAGAGAAAGAGAGAGAGAGAGAGAGAGAGAGAGAGAGAGAGAGAGAGAGAGAGAGAGAACTAGTTTAACAACATTAAGTGATTGCACTGGCAGCACTATGACATAGCATCTATGTCATTGCTGAACTATATGAAACAAGAAAAACCTGAGCAAAGGTGATGTCTAAGGATAGCTCAGATACATGAAGATGAAAATGAAATGTACTGGCATAGACTACAAACTAGTACCCTTGTATATTTGCTAATAGACTTTGAAGAACTAAATTACTGTCCTTGTTGGGGAGGCTGGAGTCATGAAATGGCGTAGGTAACCTTTGATAGCCACATGTCTGCCTGCTTTTCAATTAGAAGACAAGTTAAGAAATAACTGTAAGACATAAGGTCATCTTTTTATCTGAGAGAAGGAGATGCTGTATCATCTAGATAACTGCTTTTTCAGTTTGTTTATTCTGCTCATATGAAGAACGAGTAGGAATAGAAATAATTTTGCAGAATTTACAGCACCACACCACATGAACTGAAAACTAGAATTCTGTAGACTATAAAATGTACACCCCACTTTCCCCAACTGCAATTTAACTTGGAAGTTAAATATGGGCACCTATTTACTTTGGCTTTTACATATTTAAGTCCCTATTCAGATACAAGGGAATGCATGTAGTATGAAATATGGGGGATCAAATTTTAGGAGTACTTACTGCTGTTTAATAAAACAAAATCAGATCTGTGTGAAGTTTGTTACAAATGAAGGTGACATAGTTGTAGAAATGAGACTTAAAGTGAAAGTAGTTCTGCTTAAGTGGTTCTGGCCCTATTTGTGAGTCACCTACCTGAAATTTTGTAGAACTTCTGTAGTGTCTCTTCAGCTCATTTGAATCTATCTGTAATAAATGTATATTTTGATCAGGTTCAGCAAATTTCATTTATTGGTCTTTTTAATAGTTAGTTATTTCTCTTTGCTATATTCCTCAATATTAGTTTGTAATTATTCTATCATTATCCACCTGTTGCATTTTTTAAAGCACACAGCTTTTCATGGTGTTTTCTTTTTATTAATTCCACATGCTTGCTAAATATTCTTCTATAGTATATTTTGATTATATTCTTTCCTTTCCCTCAGTTCTACCCAGATTCTCCCCACTTCCCTATATACCTAACTGCATGGTCTTTCCTACTTCCCCCTCCCAAAGCAAGAAGTAAAAAAACAAAACATGAAAAGCCAATCAAACATCCAATCTTTATTTCCTCTTCTAACCTCATCTAGGAACTATAGTCAGTAAAGCTGAAGTCAACGTTATTCTCCAATCTCCTGAAGCCTAAGTGTGAGCTCCTGGTATTGCATATCCTCTGAGCATACCCATCCATGCTGGCCAGTTAGTGTAGGCCCTCTGCCTCGCCTGTTCAGTCTCTCTCTTGGCACTGGTCTTCCTCCATTAAATGGTGCTCACCACACCCTATTCATTACACAATGGCAGACAAAAATCTCCATAAGGCAGAGAACTTAATCCCTATTTATGTCTAATTCTATGGCTATACATGATTTTCAGAAAAAAAATCCTCAAATTCTCTTTTGTAGTTCACCAGGCTCTGGTCTCCCTGTCTCAGCAGTATTTTGAAGTTTCTTATCCTTTTCTATCTCTCAGTTCCTCAAATGTGTCAATTTCTCACTTGAGTGCCTTTGTTGGGGATATTTCTGGAGGGCAGATCAAGCTTCCTGTTGTTGCAAAGGTGGAAGGATACAGATAGTACCAAGTCTCCATCAGGATCAGATGACCCATGTAAATACAACATAGAAGTTCACTGTTCTTATTTGTTTTTCCTTTATGCTTGACCTATGTAAAAAAGTTAGGTACACATTTGTTTGTTTTTGTTTTTGTTTTTTTTTTGGGGGGGGAAAGGCTCATTTGGTTAAACTTCCACATTGTAATCCATCACTGAATGAAGTCTGGACAAGAACTCAAAGAGGGCAGAAACCTGGAGGCAGGATCTGGTGCATAGGCCATGGCAGGGTGCTAGTCACTGGCTTGCTCCACGTGGTTGCTCAGCCTGTTTTCTTATCCAGGATACCACTCCAGGATTTTCTTAGTTCCTAACCTCAGTAAGTGCTTGATAAATATATGTTTTATACCACAGGAGTAGAAAGGCTTTTAATATTAACTTGAGGCCTAAAAGAATCAATTCCAACATCCTAGCAATTCTAGCATATATATGCTTCAGTTACAGGTAGGAAGAAGTTTCTTATAAACTCTGAATTAATTGCAGTATTAGAACTTAGACATACAGAAGCAGCAGCATCTATTATCATTCATGTTATTTAATATGGGAAATTTTAATCTTCTTCAAGTAGTGTTTAAGATCAGTTAGTTGGCGCTGGGTAGATGGTCCATTTGGTAAAATGGCTGCCTCATAAGCATGAAAACATAAGCTTGGTGGTCACAGTAGCATATCTATAGAATCAGTGCTAAGTGTGGCTGTGGGTAGAGCAGACACATCCCTGAAGCTTAGTGGCTAGGCAGTGTCACCAAATCTATGATCTTCCTGGCTCGTGGGGGACTGTCTCAGAAAATAAAGGTGGAAAGCAACTGAAGGAGGACACCTCATATTAACCTCTGGCCTCCATATGCTTGTTAAGACGCACATGCAGATACACACATATAGACACATCCATGTGCACATATATGTGCACACATAGAGATACACACATGCACACATGCATGCAAACACATGAACACGCACACACACTGCACATGTGCCACATCACTCATTCCAATCTGCCAGCCACCTCTGTTCCTTGTCCCTCTCCTTCTATTATAGTTATACTTTTACCCACATACACACAGCAAATTTTACAAAATATATTAAACTGTATGTCAGATATGCTCATTTAATGATCTGTACTATGATAAAACAAGACTATTGAGCCAAAGGAAGGTAGGCATAGACAGGTTTCATTGGTAGTCTTATAAATTTGTGCCAGGAAAGACTGAGTAAAATCAGGCAGCTCCATCATAGCTTCTCTGATACTGACAGACACAACTCAAGTGTCAAGCTGCTATGTTAAAAGATTGCATTCCCCTCCAACCAGGAAGTCCCCCCCCATTTACACCTTTCTTTTCAGAGTCCATGATTCTGTGATTAAATAAATGTAAACACAACTAAAAATGCTTGATTAAAGGAAAGTGGCATTTAGCAATTTTAAAATCCCTGTTCTTTTGAACACTAAATAAATTTGGCACCATTAGCCTTAAGAGGATCAGTCTGTTTACTAGTGACAATTAGGCACTTACTTTTAAAATGTCACCCTATTTAGTTCCTTCTCTCCTTTAAGCCTGCTTATTATGCAGACAGCATTTCTTCAGGGGAGGCTTACTTTAGGAAGGGTATGCTAATTACAGCTAAATCCCATCCTAACAAATAGTCTTAGAGGATGCTGTCTACTGGATGTTAGTATTTACCCATTATTTACCTCCTCTGATTAACAATTCTACACTTTAAAACAGAACAGAGAGAAACACTTAAGAAAGATTATGTGAGGCTGCAGTTAAAGAATTACTCAAAGAAAAAAATCTTGAGCCAGTTTTATCATACATCCCCAACTATAAACCTGTCTCGATATCTTTGAATTCCAAGGTTAGATAGGAAAATGGGTAGAACACTGTTCCCACCTTTCAGGAACTTATTGTCAGGTAAGAAAGACAGCTAAAGAGACAAGGAAGACATGCTAAATGTGTGGGTGTTTATTCATTGGATTCATCTGACAATTTACTTCTATCAGCTATATCTTAGGTTATCTGTGCATATCATTTAATCTTCATTACAGATTTATAAAATAGGAACTATTTTCACTTTACAAGTAGAAGAGAGTGTTCAATAAAAGAGTTAATTTAGTTTCTTCAAATATTAGTAGTAAATATTTAAGTAGTGAAATTTGAGTCTGGTCTGCTTTTTTCTAATGTATTATAGTTAACCTATGTTTTATTTATCCAAATTAAATAAAAGAAATATCATCAAAAATATCTAGTGTACAAAGAAATGAGTGATTCCTTTCAGGTCACTTTTATAGATAGTAATTATGAGGTGTGAGTCCTTAGAGCAGTGTCCTGTATCCAAAGACCTAACTGATATGGCCGTTAGTTGGGCTCTAAACATTTCCACAGATCTTTGTGGCTATTGGGTTTATCAATCAAAAGCTGTAGCTGTGTGTCATAGCCAATACCCAGTGTTAGGCACATGAGCTTGCTTAGCAGTGAAGGGCCAACCCAGTAACCCTAACAACCTGAGTTTGATCCCAGAATTTACGTGGTGGAAGTATAGATTCAACTCATGCAAGTTGTACTCTTACCTTTACACATAAACCAAGCACCCATGTCAGGGGTACATACAATAAATAACATAATATATAATGCATAAATAAAATAATATCCACTACTAACTTAATTTCAGCTACATGCTAGGGAATTTTTATAACAAGGATTTTTTTTTTGTTGCTGTTTGTGGTGGTGTTTGGACATCCCTCTATGTAGTACCATTTTCAGAATACTTTAAGAATAAATGTTGTAGAACATGCCCAGACCTTCCTAGTTTCTTTCACTGTGGCTGTTTGCACTTCCATCTGTTTTCCCTAAAAATATTTGCAGAATTAATGCCTAGTGCAGCATGTATTAAGATAATACAGTATATGTAGAGAAGGTAGGTAGGTGTGTCTAACCAGTATATGTAGTAAATGAATGAACACTTCTGTGGAATACCTTAAAGAGAGCATGTATAGATGAAAATAGTAAGGTCTTAAGGTTGGGAACTCAGTATACACAGACTTTGTACCAAATGTAATCAACTTTTAAAGGCCAAAATTTCCTACTCTAAATTAAAGGAACCATTAAACTTCCTTTGAGCAAACAAAGCAATTAGTTCCTGCTCTGCATGTGTAGCTTGTGGTAATGCATTTTGAATAGAGCCCATTGAATGTGTTTTTATTGATTATTTTTCAGTGTTTTAACACTTTATTGTGTGCAAAGATCTCTTAGAAAATTGAAAATAAAAGTCCCCCTTTAGTGATCTTGTCATTTTCCATTTGTCAAACATTGATTTGTGCATCTAATGGAGGCTGTAATTAGTGGGTCTTTTCCCTTTCCTTCCCTTCCTCCCTCCCCCTTTCTTTCTTCCTCCCTCTCTCTTTCTTTCTTTCTTTCTTTCTTTCTTTCTTTCTTTCTTTCTGGTGTTGTTTACTTCTCATTTGTACATCATCCTTATCATTCATCAAGCTGCCAGTGAGCTCCTAGATTGGGGTATAATTGAACTGACACTCTGAAGTCTGTACTTGGGATATTATGAATAGATATTTACTATTGGTTTGGCTATTATTGCCTTTAGAATTTTTTCAATGAAAAAAGTTAAACATACCACACATCCCAGAAATTAAAAATTTAAAAAGAAAAGTCAGTAAAATTATTTCTTTCCTATTTTTGAAAACTTAAGATTTCCTGAAGACTCTAAAGAAAATATTCAGGGTAAAAGAACTCTACTCTCTTAGTCAATAACATATATGACTCTGAGTGGCTATACATTATGGCTTTTTTCCATTTCTACTCTGATCTTGGAGGGCAGTCCTTGTTGAGATTAGTGATAAGGGAGTCACAGTGGACATCCAGAGGGCACCCTTTCTGCTGGCTAGCTTGGAAGTGTCGGAAAAGCAGATGCTTAACACTTGGGTGTATGCTTATGAAAATACATTTTTTCTGTTTTATATTTCAGCATTGGGATTGACTATGAAATTACAAAACTGGGATTAAATCTAGAAGAATAAACTTTGTCAAAGATAAGAATTCTGGCTTTTGAAAGAGGCCACTGCTTTGATCATGAGAAATGGGATGTGATGAATTTGGAAAGTCAAGAAAGAAAAGAAATAGATCAGAAGATATTCATTATAAAATAAGACAACCACGGGTTTATGATTTGCAAATGGCAAGACACATGGCTTTCTCCTGTGACCGGGCTCCCAAAGGAGATCCTGAAGCCTCTCAGTGTCTCATGTGGCTTTCTACCAGCATAATTTGCAATTGGTGGAAATCTCTGCAGTACAGTTCAGTAGCTACATGCTCTTGAGCACTAGAAATATAGATAAAATATGGTTGCGAATTTTGGGTTTTCATATTATTTAATTGTGAAATTTGAATATACATATGTGTACTAGCCTCCATATGGTCAGTACAGTGAAGTTACAGTTGTTAAAAAGATGAGGGTGTGACTACACTCATCTTACTGTGTACTGTCCACTATCTTTCCTATTAATATCATATAAGTTATCCTTCTCATTTTTACTTCATCTCTGCTTATTCTGTTCACACACCCTTCTCTTTGTACCTATTAACTTGAGCATTTCATAGCTTTACTAATACCTAAACTCTGTGGATCCTAACAGTACTCCAACTCCCTGCTTCTATCTACCTTCTTTCTATTTATATCTCAATTAGTCTAATACTAATCTCTATTTTTACCATATTTCCCTCCCAAGTCTAACCTTATCTTAGCAATACTACTCTATCATCCTCCTATTCCCTAATAAGTAATTAAGACAAAGAGATGATTTTTTAAACCAGCTGTGAGGATATTTGCATAATGGAACCATTTAACACTTGTGGTAGCTGCAGTGAATATTTTATAATCACAGTTTTATAGGGCACCGTGCCCCCTTAAATAGGTGGGTCTAATTTAGATACTGCACTACATTCTTAGTCCATTAGAGATGAACAATACCTCAAATCTATCATGACCTAGTTTCACTTGGACATTGAAACACTTCAACTGGAAAAAAAGAGTTAGTAAATACTCAACCAATAAAATAATCCCAGACTCACAACTCACAATCTAGAAGTGTATATTTAAACAAGGCATATTTAAATATGAGCCCTGTGAAAATAACAACTCCATAGAAGATTCCAGTGAAAAGGAATTAGATAAAATTTCATACAAAAATTAAAAGTATAATCATAAAAGCTATAATTAAATCAAAGGTAAAACAAATAAACTCTTAATTAATTCATGAGAATACAAAGAAACAACTGAACACATAAATTAATATAGGATATGAAAGAAGAAGTAAGTAAAGAGAAATTCTTGCAATCCCCATCAAAATCCCAACACAATTCTTCACAGACCTTGAAAGAACAATTCTCAACTTCATATGGAAAAACAAAACGAAACAAAAAATCAGGATAACCAAAACAAACCTGCACAATATAGGAACTTCTGGAGGCATCACCGTATCTGACTTCAAGCTTGACTATACAGCTACAATAATAAAAAAGCTTGGTATTGACATAAAAACAGACATGTGGATCAATGGAATCAAATTGAAGACCTTGCTATTAATCCACACACCTATGATCACCAGATTTTTGACAAAGAAGCCAAAATTGTACCATGGAGAAAAAAAGCATCATCAGTGAATGGTGATGGCATAACTGGAGGCTGGCATGTTCTATTGCCATGCACAAAACTCAAGTCCAAATGGATCAAAGACTTCAACATAAATCCAGCTACAATGAACTTGATAGAAGAGAAAGTGGGAAGTAGCCTTGAATACATTGGCACAGGAGACCTCTCCCTGAATATAAAACCAGTAGTACAGACATTGAGAGAAGCAACTAATAAACGGGACCTCCTGAAACGGAGAAGCTTCTGTAGGGCAAAAAACACTGTCAATAAGACAAAATGACACCTTATAAAATGGAAAAATATCTTTACCACCCTCATGTCTGACAGAGGACTGATTTCCAAATTATATAAAGAACTTAAGGAACTATACATCAAAATACCAAATAACCCAATTATAAATGGGGTACATATCTTAATAGAGAATTCTCAACAGAAGAATCTCAAATGGCTGAAAGACATTTAAGGAATTGCTCAACATACTTAGCCATCATGGAAATGCAAATCAAAGGACATTGAGATACATTCTTACTCTTGCCAGAATAGTTAAGATCAAAACCACTAGAAGGGAACTGGGATTGTAATGTAATTCAATCTTGTTTGCAATTCAAATGTATAACAAATAAAGGGAAAAAAAAGATCAAAACCACTGATGAAAGTTTATGCTGGAGAGGATATGGAGCAAGAGGGACACTCCTCCACTGCTGGTGGGAGTGCAAACTTGAATAGCTCCTCTGGAAATTAGTATGTCAGTTTATCAGAAAATTGGGAATCAACCTACCTCAAGACCCTGTAACTCCACTCTTGTGTATATACCCAAAAGATGCTCAATCATACCACAAGGTTACTTGCTTAACTATGTTCACAGCAACATTATTTGTAATAGCCCAAACCTGGAAACAACCTAGATGCTTTTTAAATGAAGAATATATAAATAAAATGTTGTACATTTACACAATATAGTATTTATTACTCAGTGGTTAAAAAAACAACAAAAAACAAACAAACAAAAAAAACCAATGACATCAAGAAATGTGTAGGCAAATGAGTGGAACTCCAAAAAATCATCCTGAGTGAGGTAATTCAAACCTAGAAAGACAAACATGGTATGCATTTCACTTATAAATGGATATTAGATGCAAAGCAAAGGATAACCAGGCTACAATCCACAACCCCAGAGGTGCTAGGTAAAAAGGAAGACCCTAAGAGGGATAGCAGGAAAGGGAAATTGTTAAGATCTCCTGGGTAAACTCATAGGAGGGGCCAGAAGGGAGGGAATTGGGGATGAAAACATGAGGCATTGAGATGACTGAGTGAGGGGAAGGATGTAGAGGGAGACCAATGAAAGAGATATCTTGATAGAGGGAGCCATTATGGGGTTAGGGAGAAACCTGGTTCTAGGGAAATTCCCAGGAACCCACAAGGATGTCCCCAGCTAATACTCCTAGCAATAGTGGAGAGGGAGCCTGGACTGGCATTTCCTCGATAATCAGATTAATGACTACCCCAATATAATTTATACCCAGTATTTGATGGAGGCAGACTCAGTGAACCATAACCAAGCACTGGGCTGAGCTCCTGAAATTCAGTTGAAGAGAGGGAGGAGTGATCATATGAACAAGGGGGGTTAAAGATCATGATAGGGAAAACCACAGAGACGCTGACCCTAGCTAGTGGGAGCTCATGGCCTATGGACTGACAGCTGGGGAACCTACATAGAACTGAACTAGGCCCTCTGAATGTGGGTGGCAATTTTGTGGCTTGATCTGTTTGGGGGGTCCCTGGCAGTAGGACCCCAAAACCATCCTAGGTTCATGAACTGGCTTTTTGGAGCACATTCCTTATGGTGGGATATCTTTCACAGCCTTGATGTTGGGAGAGGGGCTTGGTCCTGCCTCCACTTGGTACGCTAGACTTTGTTGACTCCCCAAGGGAGGCCTTATCCCCTCAGAGGAGCAGATGGGGGATGGGATGGGGGGAGGTAAGGGGCAGAAGAAAGGTAGGGAGGGAAAACTGGGATTGGTATGTAAAATGAAAAAAATTAAATTAAAAAACAAAGAATTAAAATTTATAGTGCTCATAAAACATTCTGGAACCTTAAAGAACATTAAATAAATAATAGCCATTGTTACTAAAAAAAAGAATTTTAGAAAATTAAAGTTCATTTAGTCATATAGAAACCCAGTAGAATTCTTTGTCAATAGAATGGATCCAGCAGAAGATAGAATATCACGAGGAAGATGAAAAGAAAGATGAATTAGAATATTCAGACATCAGCTGGGCAGTGGTGGTGTACGCCTTTAGTCCCAGGACTCGGGAGGCAGAGGAAGGCAGATCTCTGTGAGTTCAAGACCATCCTGGTCTACAAGAGCTAGTTCCAGGACATTCTCCAAAGCCACAGAGAAACCCTTTCTCAAAAACCAAAATAAATAATAATATTCGGACATCGACAAAACTTTATTCACAGAAAGACAAACATTAACTAAAACAATCTTGCAAATTTAGTTTTTTTGTAGTCAATCTCTTCCCCCAAACTCCACTTACAATAATTTCTCCTCCTCTTACAAATTGGAGTCTTGGCTGGATCAATAGCATATCACTAAGGTAGATGATATCACATATGATGTCAATAATAATCCAGTAGTGCCAGTTTTCTGCTGTTTGGTATGGAAAGGTGAGACGCACTGGTAGCAGCCAACAGTTCCAGTGATAGGCAATGGTGACAACCAGGAGCCACAGGAGATAGATCCGATCTAGCAAAACAGAACTGGTCACCCCAACAGTATCACACAAGCATTCTAAGAAGTTCCTTTCTGAGTTTGATCAAACCGAGGCACTATCTTTATGTGTATTTGTGGTGTGCTTATACGTGCACATGTTCATGTGAATGAGCAGTATTTGTGTGCACTGGTATGTAGAGAACAGAGGCTGACACTGGGTGTCTTCCTCTGCCATTTTCACAAAATTTTGAGGTATGGTCTCCCAGTTCACCTACTTGCCAGACTGGCTAGCTAGCAAGCTTTGGGGATCCATCTGTTTTCTCTCACTCATTTGCTAGGATTTGCACTACCAAGACCAGCTTTTCCACGGATGCTAGTGACTCAAATTCAGATTCTCAAGCTTTCGAGGTAGGCACATTATAGATTGAGATAATCTCCCCAACAGTGATACTGTGGAGATAAGCAATTTGTAGTAAGAACTTCTATTAAAAATTCAACCCAGTTCTGTCCTGAGTTGAAGGCACCATGCTGTACAAAAAGAAGCAAAAGTAGGCAGTGTCCTTTTGTCTTTTGGCTAAACCGAGTCTATTCACTGTTTGGATTCAGGAAAGCAGAATCTTGGAAAATTTAGATATACCATTGCTGAGGTCTTCCTGAAGCAAAGGATCTTTATTACTCAGTAATTAAGGCTTGCCCATGGCAAGTAGGAGAAAGGGCTTCACCCTTTAAGAAGCAGGTTGGCCCTGAATGGGAGAAGGGAAAGCCAGTCTATTTAGCTAACCAGTGTCCCTTCATGTTACTTTCATTTGCCTTTGGGAGGATGTAGGAGAGAATCTGCTTGATTAGAGTAATTATTTTATCGAAGCAATAGAACAAGACAGAATATATGCACATATATATGATGTATATACATGCATATGTGTGTATGCATATTTCCAAGTTCCTTGAGGCTTTCCTTTCAAATGTTATTTGGGTCAGGAAAAGTCCTAGCCTGGGTTTTAAAACAGGCAAGAGTATTTTATCTCTTATCTCCATTAGAGAAAGCAAAACAAACCTTTTTCAGGTCAGTTTAATTATGCTTTCAAGATAGATCGAAGTGTGGAAAAACTGAAGTTCTCTCTGTACATGAGGGTCAAAGGGGTTCTGGTTATTGCCAGCTAGTCCAGTGGGATTCACATTAGTGGTACCTGTGTATGAATCTATGCTTCCAGGAAGTTTCATTCTTCTAAGGTAGTCTTTCACAGGTAACCTCTGGAATTTGCAAGACAGCATGCCCTGGTGATGTTCTTTTAGCTTAGACTTCTCTTGTGATGGTGATACATCTGCAGACTTTACTTTATAGGAAAAAAGGGAACATTTTAACAGGTTAACATAACTTAGCTTAATTAGCAAAACATTTGGTTTTGATGAAATTAGAATATTTGAAAATCTTCCACTCTGTGCAGGCAAGCAAAGCAAAACTCTCTTGTTTAAACTAATGGCCTTTATTTTTCCATATGCATTATAAAGCATCAAGTTGTACTCCTAAATATTTACAAAAATGAAATAAAACAGTGATGTATATGAAAAATTCTGACTAAAATGAATCGAAATACTGAAGTTTTGGAACTAGCAGTTTAAAATTCACAAGGCATCACAGATCAAATGTCTCCCATCCCACAGGATTTACTTTGAAGTTACAACACATCTTTTTTATGTATCCTTTGAGTTATGGGTAAACAAGTTTCAAAATATTGTTTTTAATATATATTTACCAAACTATGATTTATTTCAATCTTATCTCCTCAAACATTAACTACTATATAATGCATAGTATGCTTTGAAAACACAGCCTTCTTCAATTTTATCCCATTTCATTATAATTAGACTTTTATCTGTTCTTAGGCATTCATTTTTCTTCTTACTGTCTTTAAATACTGGACAAGTATCAGTCATAATGTAGATTGCTTTTGTGCTTCATTGTTCTTATTTTTTATACCCATATTTCTGTAATTACTAACAATGTTGGTAATTGTCCCTTCATCATGTGACTGTTTTAATCTCCTTTTCTCCATTAATTATTTTTTTTGTATTTTGTAATATGCATTTTGTATAATATGGGTATTGTTTAATATTAACAGTAGCACTTGTAGCAGGTATAGTTGGTGGCTTCTGCATATAGTCTAGGCCAAGAGATCATCCTATATGGGCTTCCTATACTTTATTCCATCTCAAAGTTTTCTTGAGCAAGTTGTCACAGCTCCAAGGCAGTCAAGAATATGCTCCAGGAACAACCAGACCTTATGACTTGTCCCTCCTCCTGATACTCTCCTCTTCTTTTCCTTATGTTTTTTGGTGTATACGATCTGTGTGAGCATGAGTGCACACCTGCAATCATTTGTATATATAATTCAGAGGACAAGTTTCTGGAATCAAGACTTGCCTTCTACTTTGCTTTGCGGCAGCGTCTCTCTTATTTCTGTTGCTTAGCCCTCTAGGCTAGCTGGCCTCTGAACTTCTGGATGATTCTTTTGTCTATGCCTCTCATATTGCTGTAGGAGTGCTAGGGTTACAGATGTATGTTACTACATTCAGCTTTTCACATAGGACCTGGGGATCTGAATTTAGATTGTCAGGCTATGCAGCAAGTGGCTTTTACCTACTGAGCCACCTTCTAAATACTTTTTGTTCTTTTGTTTTATTTTGAGACCGAGTCTCATATATCTCAGGCTGCTTTCAAACTGGCTATAAGGTTGAGGATAGCTTCAAGCTACTGAGTTTCTTGCCCCTACCTCCCCTCCCCAGTGCTGCAATTATACACCTGGTCTATACAGTGCTAGTAATCAAACACAGGGCTTTGTGCATTCCAGGCAAGTAGTCTATCAATTCAGACACTTTGCTAGCATGGTGCTAACTTTTTAATGCTATTTTATCAAGTTTTCCTTTTACCTGTGCTTTTCTTGTTGTATTTATTTATTTATTTGTTTGTTTATTTAGTGTTGGAGACTGAGCCTCTGTCATTGCACGAGCTAGGCTTGTACTCTAGTACTGAGCTTTGTGTCTATCCCCATCCATTTTTGTACATGTGAGTATGTATTCATTTGTAATTGGCTGTACATGTATGTATGGGTATGCATTATGTGTATGAATGTAGAGGCCAGATGACAAAGTTGGGTGCAATTTTTTAAACACATTCTGCATTTCTTTTTGAGACAGAATTTTGCACTGGTCTAAAAGTCACCAATAGGCAAAGCTTGCTGCTCAGTGAGCCCCAGGGACCTACTTGTCTCCATTGTCTCCATTTCCTTGGTACTCAAGTGAAGAGTATGCTCCACACTGTGTGTGTGTGTGTGTGTGTGTGTGTGTGTGTGTGTGTGTTTGTTAATGTAGGTTCTTCTGACTTAACTCAGGTCCTAATTCTTGCAAAGCAAGAACTTTAGCTACTGAGCTACTCCCTAACTCCTCTTCTTTTCTTGGAGTTACTCTTACTTTTCTGCTATATCAAGCCCTAGGGGTCACACTAATGCACCTTTAGCCTAATTTCCTTCTTGGCCATGTCTTGCTACTCTCAAATCTCTGAATCACTCCCAAAATAATGTTTCTAAAATTATTGTCTCAGGATCTGCTTTTCTGGGATCTAAGCTCAATAGTTGTCCAAATATACATTCCCTTATAACTTCTCGCTAGTGTTTTGAGGGAATAAGGCTGACCAGTTTGAGGGCTAGTTTCTGGTGAGGGTGAGTTCTCTTCCTCTCTCAGTTTTCTCTTGTAGAGGGCAGTCCTTTCACGCATCCTTTCCACCAGGTTGTGTAGCTGGGCATCAGAATATTCATTTATAATTGAGCTTTCAAGCTGTTTGTTCTTAAAGCTAAACAAGGGGGGAAAAAAGGAAAATTAGTCCTTGTGGAGATACATAGTTTTTCCTTGTGTATTCAAGTTTACTAATTTCTCCTTTTTGCAATTGAACAACACAAGGTATATACTGAAATAAAATGGGAACAGTTCTGGTTGAATACAGATTGCCATTGAAAAATTAGATGGTAGGTACTCGCTGCAGCAGCACTTATGCAATTAGGAAATTGCAGTCTACAATCAGCAAATGGCTGATCTTGACAACACAGGACCTTAGGAACATGCTTCTACCATTAAGTTCTGTCTCTAGAAGAAGCAAAGCTGGTGTGGAAGGCAGGACCTAAGATGCAACCTTGACTTCATAATCCCAGGGATGATGGACATGTGGGCTTTGCTCCTAGAGTTAGCACATGGTATGTGCATGATTTACTTCAAGATGAGAAGGTGATACAGAAGGCTTATGGAATCTCTGAACCCTCTGAAAGTAGAGTTTCTCTGGGTGGCAAAAGAACAGAAAGTCAGAAATTTGAAGTGTGAAGGGGAAGTTACTGGATAGTGGATGGGGAGTGGGATGGAAGGGGGGTTGGGTGGGGGGACTGATATGTAAAATAAGGTTGTTTCTAATTTAAATAAAAAAGAAAAAAGTATAAACAAAAAAGAAAGAAATTCCCTACCCTATGGGGATTTTTGCAAAAGGGGATCACTGATAAGAATTTCAGGAGCTCTCCATGACTGTGACTTTTGAATAGCTGATAATATGAAAATAGTAGGACTTTAGTCCTGTAACTATAAGGATCTGAGGGTTTTTTGTAATTAATTTGTTTAGTGTTTCCATTATTCTAGTTCTTTTGCATTTCCATATACATGTTAGAATAATATATTTAAAATTCTTTGTGTCTTTCACATCACGATTCTCACTCCCACTCATTTTCCTGTCCCTTTGTATCTGCCCTCTGCCCTTGCACCCTCTCCCCCAAAATAAAATAAAATGAAATTTGAGAGAGAGAAAAAAGAAGAAATAAAGAAAAATCTCATCATGGAAGCTGTAGTGTGACATACTTTACCCTTTTATCCATTTATCTTCACTGGTAGGTGTTCATTGCAAAAAGTCATTGGCCTGGCTGGAGGCCACTGGTTCCTGCTATGCTGTTGTTGATACTGGGCCCTCATTGGAACTCGTCTTGGATATCCTGTTGTTGCCCTGTATCATGGAAATCCTGCAGCTATGGATCTGCCAGAAGGCCCCTTTATTGTTCCAGCAGATCCCAGATTGGGTGGATGTTGGGGCTTGCCAACTCATAACCCTAGTTCTGGACATGGGTAGTTTCAGGGTTGTCCAGCTCTCTCCTGTCCTCATGACCAGGGGGAGCTCTCTGGCTAGTTGCCCTGGCTAGTTCACCCCTTACAGGGGAGGAACTGGCTCTTCTGCTTTCATGCCCTCAGGGTTGGCTTTCCCATACCTACACCAGCAGGGCCATTTCTACTGTGTTGCCAGGCTTGGTGCATGGGCCACTCTACAGAGTGCTGAAGCTGGTCAGGGACAGCTCTCCTGCTCTTACTATCTCCAGGTCACCTCTCATATCCACCACAGGCATCGAGGGGATGGCATCTCTCCCCTCCTCCCATGCCACCATGTGAGATCTCCCAAGCTCACATTTTTGGTTCTGGTTCACCTGCACACCCACACCAGTCAATAGGGTCAGCTCTACTATGCTGCCCAGCTCAGGTACAGGGCCCACTTTCCTGAGTTCTGAAACTGGTAAAGGGGAGCGTCAGCTCCCTTGCCTGCCACAGGCATCAGGCATGAGTGGAGAGGGCATCTTGTACTCACTTTCACCACTACATGGTAGATGAGTGGGCGTGGACAGTATCCTACTCTCAGACCATCAGGGCTGGCTCACCCCAGCCTCCACCAACAGGGTCAGCTCTAGTGAGGATCCAAGTTTTGACAATAGTGTGGATGAGTTTGAAAGTAGATTCTTTTCCTTGATGGCTGAGGATGTTGATCACTTTCTTATGTGTCTTTCAACCATTTTAGATTCCTCTATTGAGAATTGTCTAGTTCTGTACCCCACTTTTTAATTGGATTGTTTGGTGTTTTAGAGACTAGCTTCTTGAGTTCTTTGTATATTTTGGAGATCAGCCCTCTGTCAGATGTGGGCTGCCGTTTTGTCTTTCTGACTGTGTTCTTTGCCTTACAGAAGCTTCTCAGTTTCAGGAGGTCCCATTTATTAATTGTTGATCTCAGTGTCTGTGTTACTGGTGTAATGTTCAGGAAGCAGTCTCCTGTACCGATTAATTCCAGGTATTTCCCACTTTGTCTTCTAATAGGTTCAGTGTATCTGCATTTATGTTGAGGTCTTTGATCCATTTTGACTTAAGTTTTGTTCAAGGCGAAAGGCTTGGGTCTACTGTGTTACTGGTGTAATGTTCAGGAAGCAGTCTCCTGTACCGATTAATTCCAGGTATTTCCCACTTTGTCTTCTAATAGGTTCAGTGTATCTGCATTTATGTTGAGGTCTTTGATCCATTTTGACTTAAGTTTTGTTCAAGGCGAAAGGCTTGGGTCTACCTGCAGTCTTCTACATGTCCGCAACTAGTTATGCCAGCACCATTTGTTGAAGATCTTCTCTTGTTCTTTCAGTGTCTGTGAAGAATTGTGTTGGGATTTTGGTGGGGATTGCATTGAATCTGTAGATTGCTTTTGGCAAGATTGCCATTTTTGCTATGTTAATCCTCCCTATCCAAGAGCATGGGAGATCTTTCCATTTTCTGGTATCTTCTTTAATTTCTTTCTTTAGAGATTCAAAATTCTTATGGTACAGGTCTTTCACATTTTTGGTTAGTGTTACCCCTAGGTATTTTATGTTGTTTGTGACAATTGTAGAGGGTGATGCTTCTCTGATTTCTTTCTCCACCAATGTGTCATCAGTATATAGTAGGGCTACAGATTTTTTTGAATTAATCTTGTATCCTGCCACTTTCCTGAAGGTGTTTATCAGCTGTAGGAGTTTCTTGGTAGAGTTTTTCCGGTCAATTATGTAGACTATCATATCATCTGCAAATAGTCAGTTTGACTTCTTCCTTTCCAATTTTATTCCCTTGATCTCCTTTTGTTGTCTTATTGCTCTAGTTAGGACTTCAAGAACAATATTGAAGAGATATGGAGAGAAGGGGTAGCCTTGTCTTGTCCCTGATTTTAGAGGAATTGTATTGAGTTTCTCTCCATTTAATTTGATGTTGGCTGTCAGCTTGATGAATATTGCTTTTATTATGTTGAGGTATGTTCCTGTTATCCTTGATATCTTCAAGACATTTATCATGAAGGGGTGTTGGATTTTGTCAAAGGCTTTTTCAGCATCTAGTGAGATGATCATGTGGTTTTTCTTTCTCAGTCTGTTTATATGGTGGATTACATTGATGGATTTTCCCATGTTGAACCATCCTTGCATCCCTGGGATGAAGCTTACTTGATCATTGTGGATGATTTCTCTGATGTGTTCTTGGATTCGATTTGTGAGTAAAACAACTTTGAGATACCATCTTACTCCTGCCAGAATGGCTAAAATCAAAAACACCAATGAAAGTTTATGCTGGAAAGGATGTGGAGAAAGGGGAACACTTCTCCACTGCTGGTGGGAGTGCCAACTTGTACAGCCACTTTGGAAATCATTATGGTGACTCCTCAAGAAAATGGGAATCAGTTTACCACAAGATGAAGCAATTCCACTCCTAGGCATATACCCAAAAGAAGCACATTCATACAACAAGGTCATCTGTTCAGTGATGTTCATAGCAGCACTATTTGTAATAGCCAGAAACTGGAAGCAGCCTAGATGCCCCTCTACTGAAGAATGGATAGAGAAAATGTGGTACATTTCCACGGTGGAGTACTACTCCGTGGACAAAAACAATGGCATCTTGAAATTTGCAGGAAAATGGATGGAACTAGAAGAAACCATTCTGAATGAGATAACCCAATCACAAAAAAGATAAACATGATATGTACTCACTCATATGTGGATTTTAGACATAGTGTAAAGGATTACCAGCCTAAAATCCACACTGCCAGAGAATCTGGTAAACAAGGAGGACCGTAAAAGAGACAAACATTGTCCTCCAGAGAAGGGGAAAGGGTCACAATTCCCTGAGCAAATTGAGAGCATGGTAAGAGTGGGGATGGAGCTACAAGAATGAGAGGGGAAGAAGAGGAAGGATGCAGAGTTCATGAGGGAGCAGAAAGGTTGAGTCAGGTGAAGAATAGAAGAAAGGGTATGTGATAGGTAGGGTTTTAGTTGGGGGTGTGGTAGGGGAGGATGGGAGGGAGAAGGGAACTGTGATTGTCATGTAAACCAATCTTGTTTCTAATTCAAATAAAAAATGAAAAAAAAGCTAAAAAAAAAAAAAGAAAGTAGATTCTTTTGCAAAAACTCCTCACCAAGTCCTTGTCTGGACTGGTTGCCACCTTGATTTCAACCTTGGAAGACTTTTAGCAGAGAGTACAGCCAAGCCTTGGGGTTTCTGATCCAGGAAACTGGATCTGATAAAGAGGAGATGGTGTCAGCCTCAGTTCGTGGTGATTTGTTGTACAACAAGAGAAAAATAATTCAACTGACATCTTTTAAGTAACTTCCATTCTGGAAAAAACAGAAGCATAGGACTATGGAGTATAAGTTGAAAGTAAGCTAGTATATTTTGTAACTATCTGCTCATGGTCTCTCCTCTGCTGTCTGACAAGGGGTTTCAAATTGCAAATGGGAAATGTGTTCAGTCTACTTAAAGAAAATGCTCCAGTAAGCCCATTCTCAGGAACTTCTATTCCTTTCTTCCTTCCTTCTTTCCTTTCCTTCTTTCCTTCTTCCTCCTCCTCTTCCTCCTCCTCTTCCTCCTCCTCCTCCTCCTCCTTCTCCTCCTCTTTCTTTCTTGGTGTTTTAGGGAAGACAGAGTCTCTCTGCAATTCACTATGTAATCCAAGCTAGCCTCAATTCACAGAGATCTGACAGCTTTTGCCTCCTG